CATATATCATTTTTTTAATGCTAATTGGTCCTGTAAAGGCTGATGATCAACAGGACAAGATTGGACGCCTTATCGTGGAGTTTCTCAATTATCCCCAGATACATCCTCTACTCCCTGTCGAGTTCCGTGATATGGTGATGGATCGTCCGAGTGGGATACGTAGCAAGCAGGACAAGGATGGCTTTCAGCGTATATGCGCCGGTGTATTATGGGCGAATAAGTCGGAATGGGTAAGTCTTATTTGCGACAGTTTCAATGTCGTCTGACATTTGTTGAATTCCGCAGGCAAAGTTGTTTGAGGATCCCGCTTGGTGTGCTGGTATGGATGCGGTTGAGCACACTCGGGATTCGGTTGATGTTGCAGCGACTAGAGGAGTCATTGACCGGCTGACGTTACGCTCTGCGGTGAAAACGCTTGCGATTTGTTTATTCATTTTATTGACCAATATGCACAGCTCATTCACCGACGGCGAACCATCACATCTGCCCAGACTTTTGTTGAACGGGTCCTTAGCCGTATTGACATCATTCTGTGGTCCGTAGACTATGCCAAGGTCGACCGGTTCAGCTGTGGACAATTATTTCGCAAGATGTCCAAATATCAGTATCCTCAATATTTTTCAGGGGTTTCGGAGAAGACGGCTTGGGAAGCGGTGGCTCCACAGTATCGACAATGGAGCAAGTCGCTCCACAATGAGATTACCGGCTATAATCGAATGTATGAAATGTTTATCATGGTGCGTTACATCAGTATCTGTATCGCAACCTTTATCTGAAATCTGGCAGTATGGACCGATCATTCTCATGGATCCTGTTTGGCAGGAGTCAGCAATGCGCTCCCACTCGCGATCAGCTGTCCATGATGCGCTCATGAGGTTGAGTTATTCGCTGGACGGTCCGTCATACAAAGGGGAAAAGTACCACTTTCTCTCTCCCAAGATACCTGCGATCGAGCAGGCACTCCTTTCCATGGTGGAACTTATTGCCGGACCATTCATAGCGGAGCACATCTTTAATTTTCTCGATGAAATGCAGCCTCATATCAAGATACGGTGTTGGCCAGGTTTTGATAAGCAGCGTCCTAATTCCGGTTAAATTTTAATCTCCTTCCCTCCTACCCTCACCTACAATTGCTCAGATACAGTCCATCCAACTTTGCACCGAATAGAACTCGTTTATTGTAATTCTCGCGTGTTTGTCGATTATCATATTTATCTTTCATTTGTCACACGCTTGGCGGCCTTTACTGACATGTTATATATTCCATTTCGTGTCATATAGTTGTGATTCCATGTCCGCGAGTTTGAAGCCATTTGCCTTTTGGTGGATATAACATCAACATTCCAGTAAGTGGGATTCATCTTGTTTCACTGTTTGGCGTTTTCCTCGAAATGAAAATGCCTGTCACCGTTTTTAATCGAGTTGAGATTTCTATACTTGAGAAGGCGCCGGAGCAGTTATTCCCCGAGCGGGGAATAAGAAAACATAACGTGTCAGTATATGTGCGTGGTCTAGGTGTTTTTTTCTCGCACAAATTTTATATTGACGATATTCGTCGTGTGTGGACTGTTTTATAGGGTTGAAGTGGTGCCAATGTTCATATTCACTGGGTTACGCTATGTCTCTGTTGTGACTGGCATGAGAACAAGCAGATGTTGACATGTCAGATATTGCATTGATTCACTTGAAAGGCAAGTTTTCGTCCTATCATATTTGACTGAATTGATTTACTAAACATCTCAAGTACGAACGACATATGTGGCTCTTGCCAGTGATAATTGCAAGGTCAGATATATTTATGGCCGGCATATTCCCCGCTCGGGGAATATCATTCACTGACCTTACAGTGTCGTATTTTGAACCTCTGTTGTCACCTCCTAAACTTAGCATTCCAATGTGATCGACAGATTCGCTGGTCAAGCCATCTGAAGCACGACCACGTTCGGG